GTGATCGATGTCATCGTAACCGTTTCCACACCGACAGATGTTGCTGTCCACGAGGTTTATTCTATTGAGATGGGCATCTAGCGAGTAGTGGTTCGACATAAGTCTACTCATCACGCGAATGAAGTCACGACTTAAGTCCAAGTCTTTAAACCACGCTCTCGAAGAAACACTAGGAATAATTGAATGTAACCACCGTCCAAGATTTCCATTGTCCCAATCGGTTTGCCAACTCGAAAGGGTATTCTGACGCACTAAATGGTAAAATTCATCGTGTGAAATTTGCCTGTCATAAAATTCGCCTTCCTGCGCGCCCACCTTTGCAAGAGAGTCCGCCTTCTCATTGCCTGTGATTGAGCAATGTGAGGGGACCCATACAAATGTAATCATACATGATCTTTCGACCAGCACACTCATCTGCTCCCTTACCTTTGAAAGGAAATAAGATGAGTGCCTACCTTGTTTCATCGACCGAAAGGCTCAATCGAACTGAGACTATCCGAGAAGATGAAGTAATGGTCTGCGGGTATGTTGGAAATCATCCCCAATGCGAAGTTGATTGCTGCCATCGCAAAGTGTTTTATCAACCAGAATAGGATGTAGTCTAAGAATCTTGGACGAAGTCTTCACCTCCCGCCCGCGAGAAAGGTCTACTACTTTCTCAGAAAAAACTGTCCGCTTGAGCTATACGAACTAGAACTTCGGTTGATTCATTTAACTCTTGAAGCTTGATAGCTCCTGAGCGCTTATTGCTGCGATTGTTCGGAGATATGTTGTGGAAGAATCTACGGATGTACGCCACGATTCGGACGAGATCGGTATAAGAAGAACGGAGACAGAAAATTTCGCTTGGTTTCTTCGCACAAGCTGGGAGGGCTACGGTGGATCTTTCTTCTAAGAGAGATTGTTCAACGTCTGCTATAGCAGATGAACTGTTAGGTCACGTCGAGCGATCTTGTCGTAACCACAATGGCCCTTCATACTTCAACTGAGCAGGTATCATTCCACGCGAGATAATGTCTGCTGGAGTTTCCGCACCGGCCACATGATTCCATACGCCACTGCTGGCTATGTGCTGAATCTCCGAGACATGATTTGCTACGAAAATTTCCCAGCGAGAAGGTGGAGAAGCTAGCCAATACTTCACGATTGTGAAGTCTGCCGAAAAGAACGGGTGGAACGGAATCTGGATACTACTGCAGACCTTTTCGTACAAATGACTCAACAAGAGTGCTGCGGAAAGCTCAAGTCGGGGTGTGGATAGAACCTTCTTCTTCCGCTTCAAATCATCTAGTGGTGCGACCCTCGACTCGGCAGTGATCAGACGAACGGTTATTTCACCGTTGATAGTGACGCATCGAAGGTAAAGTCATGCTCCATAAGCAGCGTTGGAAGGGTCACAAAACCCGTGTAGCTCTACCGTGGCTAGATCTTGGGAGAAAGAGACCCAGCGTGGTACGGTGAGAGTATCTAACGCTAGAAGATTTCGTCGATATTCAATCCACGTGTTCTGCAACTCTTCCGGTAGCAAATCATCCCAGTCACACTTCTGCTTCCAAAGAGATTGGAGGAAGATTTTTGCTTGTACAACTACCGGACCAATCAATCCAAGTGGATCGAAAATCTTAGCTGATTCTGACAAGACGGTTCTCTTGGTAATGGGTGCGTCCGATTCAAGCTTGGGAACGGTAAATCGGAAAATATCAGCAGCTGGCTTCCACATCAAACCAAGAGTTTTGACGGCGGATGATGACGAATCCAATTCAAAGGAAGTTCGTTCGTCTCGAAGTTCGCTCGGAACGTTGGAGAGTATTTCAGCGCTGTTCGAGCTCCATTTCCGTAAGATGAAGCCTGCTGAATTCGTCAGATCTATCAAATCTGTCACAAGAGACTTTCCTTCCTCCAAATCATCAGTTCCACTTAATAAATCGTCAACGTAAAGGGCGAACACGAAATTATTGCGACACCGAAAATGTCATGCCAATTTTCTTATAATGTTTAGAATCAAACCAAAATTTTAGGGTAGTTTTATACATATCTTTACTTCAAAAATCAAAATAAAAATTAATCGATCGAGCCTTGAGTGTAAAATTGAACGCATTTTCGCTTGATGCCCTCCATCAAAGTCTTTACAGTGTCATCCGGTACCAGTTTCTCAGTTTTTTTTTCCATTTTCTGAACATGTCCTTCTCGTCTTTGACTGTCTTCTTGCTCTTCCGAAGTTTCCGCTTCATTATTGCCCAGTACTGCTCCACCGGGCGCAGCTCCGGACAGTTTGGCGGATTCATGTCCTTTGGAACAAAATGGACAGAATTGGCCTCATACCACTCCAGGACACTTTTAGAATAGTGGCATGATGCCAAATCTGGCCAAAATAGCGGAGCTTCGTCGTGCTGCTGCAAGAACGGCAAAAGGCGCTTCTCGAGGCACTGAGATTTGTAGATCTCGCCATTTACTGTGCCTTTTGTCACGAAAGGCTCACTCCTCAGTCCGCAAGATCAGATGGCCTGCCAAATGAGATATTTGGAGGCGAACTTCGACATTTTCTTCTTCTTAAATTTGTCGTCCACATCGAACTTGCTCTTGCCGGTGAAAAACTCCAACCCCGGAATTTGCTTAAAATCGGCTTGTATATACGTTTCGTCGTCCATCACACAGCAGCCATATTTTGTCAGCATCTTCTCGTAGAGCTTCCGTGCCCGAGTTTTAGCCGTCGATTGTTGCCGCTCATCGCGGTTTGGGATGTATGTATGTAGTCCAGCTCTCTTCTTTGCATTCTGGACGTAGCTCTGCGACATGCCGATCTTTTTAGCCAAATCACGGCTTGAGACGTTGGGATTAGCTTTAATCATTCGCTTCACCTTTCCCTCCGTCTTTTTGTTCTCCGGTCCCGGTTTTCTTCCAGCTCCTTTGCCATGGTCCAACATCAACCGCTCCTGGAACCGCTTCAACACTCTGGAGACGGTTGAATGGTGAATGTTCAACATTTTTCCCAACTGCCGGTGCGACAGGTCAAGAAATTCCAGGTGTTTGGAAAGAATTTGTTCTCTCAACTCGTGTTGGTTCACCTCCATTTTCGTTGAATCGAAAAACACGACTTCGAGTTTGACAGCATGTACACAATACACATCAATGAGAAAGTGTGCAAAATTTGGTTGATTTTTACCCAATGGTAAAAAAGTTATGCCCTGTTGAATGTGTCGCAATAATTTCGTGTTCGCCCTTTAGAAGTCCCTTTTGACTACCTTTGCCGCTTTTGGGTGTGTAACTTCACCTTCTCTTCCCAAGCATTGAAGGCACTTCGTGGCAAGGTACGGTGCAGAGCTAGTTTCATAGGTGACCGTGGTTAATTTGTATGCCTTGACGGAATCGCCGCAAGATAGTCTCCAAAAAATGCACTGAAGTAGATGGTGGATGATGAAGTCGAAAAACGCCTCCTTTAAGGCAGTGTTTGATGAGAACCGACGTTCTAGCCTATGGAACCGTTTGAGTGCGTTAGCCTTGGAATCACCCAGCTTCTGAATGACAGCTTCCTTTTTCGGGAGAGTTACTACGAACCTACCAGTTTCGTCTCGTGTGGTAGTGCGTTCGAAAATATCTTCACACGTTGGCTCTTCAACTGACAACGTGCCTCCAGAGTTCATTTAGATCGGGAGCACCGCAAGGATAGGAAACGCTTCGTGGTACTGTTAGTAGGCGTCCAGACACGACCGAGCCAAACACGGTTTCTTGAAGAGCGGGCCCATCATTAAATAGTTTGATTTTACCATCCTACAATATGTCATAATAGACTTCTGCAACGATGATTAAATCAATCCATCCAGGCTCGAAAAATGTGGGATCCGCTAGCATTAGGTGCTCTGGGATTGCTAGTTGCTGCACATTTACCTATTCGGTGGGTATGTCAGAAGTTATCTTGGGCAGAACGTGCAACTTGTTGAAGAAACATATTTTTGTTGGGCTAGTGGTTTTATATCCGTACGTAAACTTGCAAATACTGCCTTAACCTTCTTTATTCAAGTTTCTATGATGATGTTCGATATAGCCGTATATTAGAAACATTCATCTTTCTCCACTTTTTGTCAGTTTAAAAATATACTTGGCATCGTCTACTGAGAGCACTTTTAAGTTCCTGCTACAGCCCAAACAAGTTGTTTCACATATGGCGTTCCCTTGTATACCAAATGTTACACGGGACGATGCGACTAAAAACTTTCTTCAGTTTAACCCTTTGCCTATAAATATTCCACGCCCTCATCACACTTTCAGCACAGCATAATTTAAATCTCCTATAACACAAGGAAAGCATAACCGGAGCAAACAAAAATAGAGCCCGTGGGGTTGAACAAACAGCTACAGCACCATGCACTGAAATATAAATCAATATGCTAATGTGCTCCACTGAACTTGCCTCGGTTCTCCGGTTCTCCATTTGGACTACGAGGTCCAGGGCGGTGATCCGCATTTCTCTCTATTTACGACAACGAGGAAGCGATTTCCATTTGAAGTTTATCCTTCGAGGTGGATGATATTGAAAATAGGCACACCTTGAGAGCACGGTTCTGGCTGAAGGAACCGATTTCACCATTTATCGACATTGAGGGACATCACAGTCATATAGGAGATAAAGAGAGTATGTATCGATCGGTGCACTAATTATAGTTAACTCAGCAGTTCATCAGCAACTACTAGTTGTATAACATTCATTATCAAGTGGAATCAGTCATCAACGGTTATCACTCACTCCGTAAAACGACACACGTGGAAAGGCGGCACCCACGTAATTGCTGTTTCCATTCGTCGAAATATTCGCTAAACAGACACCCAACACGCTGTCGAACGACCAATTTAGAAACAAAACAAAAAAAACGCGGCACAAAACACGCAATTAAAAGCAAATGTACAGCACCCTATTCGAGATATGCTGAAACAAGAGAACCGCTTTCCGGCCGTACAATTATCATTAATTTTCTCCCTGTCATCTACTTTTTTCCTCATTGCAGATTCCGCATACCACCATCAGCTGAACCAAACTGGCTGAATAGCAGAACTGCAGAAAACGCAACTACCGAAATAGAACCGGTAACCACTTGCTACTACTGCTGCTGCTGCTGCTGCTGGGAAATGTACTGAAAGTACTGCGCATTTAGGCCACCGAAGGCCTATAACCAAGTGTGTCGACAGCCTAGGAGTTCCACATACACCGCAAAACGCGTAGCCATAATTCTACACCGCCATCGATGGCCACCGAGCTCCAGAGTGGCCGCAAAACCCGAAGTGACATCGCCATGCAGATTTCGTCGTCCACGGCAGCGACCGCGTCGTCCCCGGGGCACCACGAACTAACCGAACTGTCGGTGGTGGACATCAACGCATCGCTAGCCGCATCGGCACCGATGATTTCGTCGGCGATCTCCAGCGTCACATCGCCGCCGCCGCCACCGCCGACGCCACTGAATATTTCTGCCCCCATTGCTGCTGGTGTGGCTGGAACCGGTGCTGGCACCGGGGGCGGTGGAGGATTTACTAATCTATTCAATGTGTCCAACAGTGCCGATCTGACGGCGGTGGCGTACAATTCCTACACGCAGAATGTTCGCTGCAAATCACCGCCGACGCTGGTCGATAATCTCAAGAACGGAACCATCGGGTGAGTAATGGATCTCTTTTTTTTTTTCTCATGCAAATATACAAAACCAATTGTTTATGCTTTGACTGGTTGACTGGTCATTTAGGTATGAAAGTGTTTTTCGGAAACTATTAGATGTTATAAAAAGATTTTGCACAAGTTACAAGAAGAGATTGTCAAGTAGGGGGTAAAATGGGCAATTACTTGTTCTGTCGAGAAAACGACAAATATCACAGTTTTGGTCAAACCCCTACATTGCTCGCTTATTTCATGACGATCTGAACATTCTGAGATTTTCTGAATCTAACAAATCTAGATAGAACTGGAATTAGGGCGTAACGGCTTTTGTAAACAATGACTTCTATCGATGATTTCTATGAATTCAAGGCACGTGCACGCAGGCCAACCTAACCATCGGATAGGGGAAGTCTTCCCCTACCCGATGAGAATGTTGGTTTGCGTGGGAGAGCCTTGAATTTCTAGAAATCATCAAGATAAGTCATTGTTTACAAAAGCTGTTAAGCCCTAATTCCAGCTCTATCTAGAAATGATACAAAAGTAAACAAACAATGTGACGCCATCCTAAAACGCGTTCTGAACTTCAAACTAAAAAATATGTACCATACCATAACCACTACTCATTTTCAATAAGAAGGGGCTTCAGCAATAAATTCAGTCTAGTAAATGTGATAACATGAACTATTACATCAAATTTCTAGATTTCATGTGAGGATCATTCATACAAGTTAAAATTTCATACAACTACTTACACAGACAAAAATTCTGAATTTTAACAGTCACTTAAAATCTCCTCTCGTTTAATTTTGAGCTATAATTGTCAACGAATTTGTTTACAAGTTTGCATACAAAATTGCTGATTTATGCAATATTGCGCTTCAATTAACATGATATATCGTGTAGACACTGTAACTGGAAAGTACCCATTAATGGGTACAATTTCACCCATTTTGAAGTAAAGTAAGTTAACCCATTTAATGAGTAAAACTGAGTTTACTCATTAATGAGTGTTCGACGGTATTTTGTTTTTTTTTTGCACATGGGTAAAAATTACTCATTTTTAAATGTTTGCTTCATGGGGCTGCCTGTCATTAAATTTTAAACATGTTAAACTCTGGGTAATGCGGACTCACTCAATGTGCATCACTTGGGAGCCAGTCCGCAATAAATAAATTTAAAGTTAAATTGCTGAAGTTCCCCCCCGACCATCCCCCCCCCCCTCCCCTCCCTAGATTTTTTTTTTTTGTTAGGTACGCTAAAATTATGTATGTTTGTATGTAAGATGCCATCATCCTAGCAGAGCCGCATGCGGCTCCACTCAACAGCAAGATCAAATTTCGTAATCATTCTGAATTCAACATACTGCTGTATGAAGGGCCAAAAGGGTTGGACGGGCCCATAAGCAGCGACACTTACGCGAAACCCGCGTTGTTAAGCTTTACAGGGGATGCTTTGTTTGAGAAGAGAGCGTTAAATTCATTGCAACTGTTGGAGTAAAATGTAACTATCTAAAATGACAGTACACCTTTTCTCATAGACTTCGGTTGACACTCCGCTTCATTGTCCAGTTACAACTTCAATGATGCCCTGATGCTCTCTCCCGTCCCAGCATTTTGAATATATAGCATAATTTTAAATATAAACATGCAACACTTAATATTTAAACAGTAAATAAGTAAATAAGAAAATAAGTATGACAGTATACAAATAACCTAGATTTATTTTAATTACAATTCATCTTCTTTTCAACCATGATATTTACTATGCTAATACTTATACCCTGAGTGGTGCGAAGTGAAATTTTCTTCATGTTGGTAGTGTTGAAATAAACGTTTCATCACCGTCGGTTGGTAGAGAGAAGTGTCAAACGGCTTTTTGTGCAGAGCCGATTCGTGACTTTGTGATTGTTTGTCAAGTCAAGAAAGAATAAAACCCTGACACATCCTCTACCTGACTTGCAATCAAACATAGTAATCACTGGATCTGGATCACTTTTACGGATGTTCCGTATCTTTCGGAGGACGGTCCTATGGCCATCCAGGTCCGTGTTTTTTATCTTTATTAAGGAGACTTTGAGCCCTGGGCTGGTTCGTCTCCGGTACGTGTTTATGTCATGACCCCGAATTCTTTCTTATACCACATGCTTTCGAAAAAACCGTAGAACTCTAGGATCAGTTTCAAAGATTGACCATTTTTAAAGATGTTCTAGATCTTGCGGAGGACGGTCCCATGGCCTTCTAGGTACATGTTTATGTCACGACCGCAAATTAATTTATATATGACAGTTCCAAGTGATTTCGAAAAAACCTTGGAGCTCTAGGGTCAGTTTCATACAATGACCACTTTTACGGAATTTTCGGATCTTGCGGAGGACGGTCCGATGGCCATCTGGGTCCATGTTTATGTCACGATCCCAAATTCATTCTAATATCGCAGTTCCTAACGTTTTCAAGAAAACCACGGAGCTCTCGGATCAGTTTCGTGAATTTTCCACTTTCACGGGTGTTCCGGATCTTTTGGAGGACGGTCCCATGCCCATCAAGGTCCATGTTTATGTCACGACCCCAAATTCATTCTATCATCTCAGGTCTTAGTGTTTTTTTCAAAAACTGCGGAGCTCTAGGATCATTTTCATTGTTTGACCACTTTCACGGATGTTCCGGATCTTCCGCAGGATGGTACTATGGACATCCAGATTCATGTTTATGTCACAATCCCAAATTCTTTCTATCATCACAGTTCCTAATGTATTCAAGAAAACCACGGAGCTCTAAGATCAGGATCGTGGATTTACTACTTTTACGGATGTTCCGGATCTTCCGCTGGCGGTCCGATGGCCATCTTGGTCCATGATCCAAATTCATTCTTATATCACAGATCCTAATTTAAAAAAAACGCGTAGCTCTAGGATCAGTTTCATGGGTTGATCACTTTTACGGATGTTCCGGATCTTCCGGAGGACGGTCCCATGGCCATCCAGGTACATGTTTATGTCACGACCCCAAATATTTGTTTATATCACAGTTCTTAATGTTTTAAAAAAAACCGCAGAGCTCTAGGATCAGGATCATGGATTGACCATTTTTACGGATGTTCCGGATTTTTCGAGGACCGTTCCGTTGTCTCCAGGATCCATATTTAGGAACCATGACTGTATTCTGGCTAATTGTGAACATTTGTGCCCATTAATCTAAATTACAGATCTTGCGCCACTTGCAAAACCCTACAAACACACCTTTCAAAAAAACGTGTAACAACTCTTTTCGCTTTTTAAAAAAGTAGACGACTCTATTTTCAAGTTTTTTGCAATCAAAATCATCTAGAAACCCAAGGAATTCTAAAGGTACCACAATTTTTGAAATTCATTAAGAAATGGCTAAGTTGTGCCATTGCAAACTTGCCGTTACACGTTTTTCGGAGGCTTCGTAGTCGGCGTAAAGTTTTTTACCCACCGTATTCGGAGTGTTAATAACTGTGGAAGTGCATCTAGAACACTAAGTTGAGAGCACGCAATAAGCTAATATGTCATACGCAATAAGCTTGAAATGCGAGGAAAAAGAAGAAGAACTTTTCTGACACCTCTTGCTAAAAATTCTTTAAACCAAAAGGATCGTATTGTTTCGGAGATGTACCGCTCCAGTCAAACTTCGCACCTTGCACTGTCCATGACTTGGAGTATACAGATGTCTTATTGTCATCGGCGTGCTGTGTGAACGTTGAGCAAACTGTGGCCGTGTGTGCCTTAGGGGCCCGAGGGTGGGACCCTACTAGGGCAGCCGAAGCCACCCGTTCAGATCGCACGCCCAGAGCCGCGTGACGGACGCGATGACCGCAGGCTCGGTCTTCTGCATTATGGCCAGAAATGACGACATGACTGAACGCTGAACAAAAAACCTTATGCTAGGAGGTTGCAATGACCTTAGCACTTGTTCCACCTGATCATGTATCCCCTTATATTGCCTTACAATGCCACACTAGGGTTAAGCTCAACAGGGTCTTCTTTCACCGCTAGTTTCCAAGCCCGTTCCCTTGGCTTTGGTTTCGCTAGTTAGCAATAGGGACAAAGGGAATCTCGTTAATCCATTTATGCGCGTCATTAATTAGATGACAAGGCATTTGGCTACCTTAAGAAAGTCATAGTTACTCCCGCCGTTTACCCGCGCTTGCTTGAATTTCTTCACGTTGACATTCAGAGCACTGGGCAGAAATCACATTGTGTGAACAACTGTTGAGGCCATCACAATGCTTTGTTTTAATTAGACAGTCGGATTCCCTCAGCCGTGCCAGTTCTTAATTGATTGTTTGGTGATGACTGCAGCGCCCGCGGGACACACACTCATACACGGGAGCCCGCGAAGGCCCCGTGCGCAAGCGTGCACCCACGGAGGAACGCATTGAGGCAAACCCCCTCCGCGTACCGGGAGCATAGCCCTAGTCATCCCAGTTTTCAAAGCCAATCCTTATCCCGAAATTATGGATCTAATTTTCCGACTTCCCTTACCTACATTAAACTATCGACTAGAGACTCTTAACCTTGGAGACCTGCTGCGGATTCGGTACAAGCTGTTGAGAGTTTGCGTGCCCCAGTCTTCAATTTTCAAGGTTCAAGAAGAGAATATCGACACAGCAATTTAATACCATGCTCTACATGTCCAACCATATATCAAGCTGAACATTGCATTAGGTCCTAAGTAACATTGACAGACTCTCTTCGTCGACTTTCTCTTTGCATCCCCATGGCCATGAAAAGACATTCCTAGGTATTTTCAGCATACAGATCGATAAAAGAAGCTTTTATCTTGCATCTAATACGACAAACACATCAAGAAACGGTTCTGTGATCATGTTATTAACGAAAGAGAAGGTCGACGAAGAGAATCGATCAATGTTACTGAGGACCTAATGCAATGTTCAGCTTGATCTCTCTATGAAAGACTTCCATGGCTAGCGTAACTGTAAAACAGAAAAGAGGATGTTGCATCAACAGCACACACACACATGGT